AGCTGATTTGCTTGTTTCGAGTTACGCAAGTGGTGTAGCAATGAACCTTTTCTATTGCAAAATTTCCCCCCCCCCCCCCCGCACTTATCTCAAGATCTGATTTCCTTCACAGACAAATCGGAGGATACCCAGTTGAAACTCCTGGGATTGCAATGGAATCCTGTTATTGATTCCTTCTCTTTTTCTATAAAGACACTTGACAAGCTACTTACAAAACGCACAATGTTATCCGATATCGAACGTATTTATGATCCTATAGGTATGTTGGCTTCAGTAACTTTTTTCACGAAGCATCTCATGCAATGCCTATGGATATTAGGAGTGGATTGGGATCAAGCCCCTGATGAAATCACTTCTGATATATGGGTTCAATACCGGTCTGAATTGAATCTATTGTCGTCGACAGAATATCACGCCTCATATTGAAACCAGTTTATTTTTCATATGAACTGCATGGTTTTGGAGATGCAAGTCAGAAGGGGTACGCTTCTGTTGTATATATTAGACCTTCACGTAGAACTGACGTTTCAACCTGCTTCATTTGTGCCAAAAGTAAGGTTGCGCCCATTAAACGTATCAGTATCCCAAAATTAGATCTTTGTGCAGGTGTTCTTCTATCCAAACTAATGTCCTATGTTTTGAAAATTCACAAAAAGAATGTGGTTTTCTCTCTAATATGCGCTTGGTCAGATTCGCAAGTTGCTTAAGCTTGGATCTCTTCGTCTCCTCACAGGTGGAAAACTTTTGTAGCAAATCGCGCCACGTTCATTCAAGAAACACTTCCCGCAGCACGTTGGTTATTTGTTGATTCTGAGAATGATCCCGCTGATTGCGCCTCTCGGGTTATGTTACCTTCGAAAATGCTCTCGAATTCTTTGTGGTTTGACGGCCCGGCATTTCTACGTGAAACTACTGAATCGTGGTTGAATAGTCCTGCCAATAATTTTATGCCTGATGAAGCAAGAGAGGAAGAAGTCAAAACGGTTTTGTCTGCTGAATGTGATGACAGCAATTTTATCGAGAAATTACTCGAGTATCATTCCTCATTTTTAAATTACAAACCATCACTGCATATGTTTTACGATTTTTGTATAATGTAAGAACTCCTTCGAATAAAAAAATTGGTACTCTTCGTAATCTATTTCTTCCGCTCATGAATTGAAAAGTAAAGATTTCTCCAAACTAATTCAAAACCTGAATAAGGTATTTTTCGTGTAGGGGGTCGCCTCAAATATTCTAACTTATCTTACGACGAAAAGCATCCCATTTTATTACCCAGAGATTCAAGATTGACTTACTTATTGATTGAATACTCTCATCTCGAATATTTACATGCTGGATTGCAAACAGTTAGTTTCCTTTCTTATTAGTCAATGGGCTATGCTTGAAGACTGGCAATAAACAAATCTAAAGCAAATGGAACTTCAAACGTTCAAGCCAGTCTCTATATACCTACATTTCCGTTTTCAGTTGGATGTCTTTATCGCGAAACCGAGCATTCAACGTTTTTTGTTTATGGTTTTTTTATAACTTACCAGAAAGAAGATTGAGTGTTGTTAAATGACATTTGATTGGTGGTGCAGCTCTCGACGTGTAAACATCGGACTGACGAACAGGTGTGATACTAATTTTTTGGGGAACTTTTTTTTGCTAACATTTTCTTTCAAATATTGACAAATTGAAATTAATATTAAGTAGATTTGCGAAGCATAAAAAGTGTTGATAATTTTTTTTTTGAGAGGAAATTTACAAAATTAAAATCTTGGGCAAAGAAGTACTGTAAACATGTTAGAAGAGGAGGGGGAGGATTTATCCTCCCCCAAAAAAAAAACACATATCGATACTGATGACAACGAAAGCAATGATAGTGTTGATGCGGAGGTACAGAGTATCTTGGAATCGATACCGGGAAACTCTGAAAACCAAAGCAGTTCACGTTTTTTTGATAGGGGAAATATGGAAAATTTATCAATAAATTCACAAACAAATAATGAAATGGAGGAAGAAGAACAATCAACTAATGAAATAATATTATATAATGAAATGAATAAGGGGCTATATACAATTATTGTAAAGTCAACTTTGGAACACAGAAATCTCAGACGTTTTCTCACTTAGAAATCACCAAAGATGTATGTGACTTAAAATTGGGAAAAATAATGAAAATAAAAATAAAAGGTAATAATGAAATAGGCATAGACTATAAGGATAGGGAAAGTGCTAATAGCATGATAAATAATTAACAACTTAAAAACAAGGGATATAAAGCTTACATCCCGTATAGCCATGTAACATGTAAAGCCATAATAAAGGAAATTTCAATTCTATTTACAGAAAATGAAATTAAAGAAATGATAAAAAGTCCTTATAAAGTAATACAGGTTGAAATAATGAATAGGAGAGTTATAATAAATGAAAAACCAACATATGTACCAGCTTCTACGGTATTAGTTACCTTTAAAGGAACAATAATTCCTAGATATGTAGATATTTGTTATATGACATACGTTACAACTCCTTACATACCACCAGTCACTCAATGCTATAATTGCCTTCTCTATGGACACATTAAAAAAAATTGCAAAGGTAAAAGGAAGTGTTTTTCTTGCACAGAACAACACAAAGATGATGAGGAATACAAAAATTGTACAATAAATAAATGTTTATTTTGTAAAAGTAACGAACACAAATCAAATAATAGAGCATGTGCAGAATATGAAAGGCAAAAAATGTCAGAGAAAAAATGACTTTCGAAAACATTTCCTTCTATGAAGCAGTGAAACAGTTTCCAAAAGACAAACCAACATACACCCAAAACTCATGTGAATTTCCAACACTACAAAAACAATATACAATAAACAACCAAATCACAGTAGAACAACGTAGGGAGGTATACAATACAAACAATGGTAGTCAAAAAAGAACATATGCACAAAGTACAGGTAAAGGGAGAAATGTGGAAAGAAATGATAAAAATAGAGGGACAGAGATTAATAATATACTTATAAATCCAAATGGAAGAGTTTATCAACCAGATAACGGAACGGTTTTTAATTACATGGAAAATCAAAGACAAACAAATACAGGAACAATTCCAAAAAACCCACTAAGGCATAAAGACAACAAAGTAGGAGACAGATTAAATTTTGCAGGAGTAGACACAGAAGAAAAAATTATTATTAAAACTTTTTATGAAAATTTTATTAAGTTACCGAGCAATACCATTACAAAAATAATAGATTTAGTTCAAAAATATGATAGAAACAAAAAACATCAAGACTTTGATACACCAGATTTTTCTAAACATTCGATAGTCAGGGGGATCCTAAAAACTTGAAAATTATACAGTGGAATATAAGAAGTATATCAATGCTAACTATCACTACTTAATCAACATTATTCAAGAATATAATCCACAAGTAATATTGTTAAATGAAACATGGCTCAAACAATCTCAAACAATAAAAATTAAAAATTATAACATTATTACACAAGACAGAGATGACGGCTGTGGAGGTATAGCCACAATCGTCCGTAAAGACATAATATATAACCTCATACAGGCCAACTTCTGTAATAATCCAGAAGAGTGCCAAAATATAATAATAAATATAGGGAATATTAACATAATCAACACATACAATTCACCAAATAATCAATTACAAGTAAATACCTATGAAAGGATATTATATCAATTAAAAGAAAACATTATCTGGATGGGCAATTTTAAAGCACATCACCCACTATGGGGAATTAGGAATACAAATCATAACGGAAATACCCTGAATACAATAATAGACGACTTTAACATGATCGTCCTAAATAATGGGAAGAGTACAAGATTAGTAAAACCCAACGAAAATAATAACCCCTTAGACTTATGTTTAGTTTCGCATACAATACCAATTAAATGCAATTGGGAGACGAGTGAAGACTGCGGAAATAGCGACCATTTTCCAACTATTTGTAATTATAAGAATAATATAGATAATGATTTCGTTATTGATGGGGGGAAAACGAGTCTTTTCTAAAGCCAACTGGGGAAAATACGAACTGATATTAGAACAAACAAAAAACATAACAAACATGAGTTATGATGAATTAATACAACATATGAATGAAACAGCGGATATGTCGATTCTTAAACAGTATCAGAAAAACATTAAAGGTTCAAAATCACCCTGGTGGGATGACAAATGCCAACAAATTAATATTAAAAAAAACAAACAATATATGCAGACGACCTAGTAGTAATATGTAAAGGGAAAAATATAATAGATATCAGAGACAAAATGAACATTATTCTAAATGAAATAAACACATGGATGGAAGAAAATGACTTCCAATTATCAGAGGAAAAATATGAAACAATATTGTTTAAACGAGGGAGAGCATGCATAGAACAGTTAGATATAAAAATAGGGCAGTCTCGAATTAAAATATCAAGTGTTGTTAAATATTCAGGAACAATAATAACACATACTCGAAAATGGGATAAACACATAGAAAACATAACGAATAAGGCGAAAAAAGGGAATAAACGTAATCAAAAGTTTTTGTAGAACATGGTGGGGGGCGGATCCAGTAACAATGAAAATGGCGTACAATGGCCTAGTGAGAACACATTTAGAATATGGGGCTATACTTTTCAACCCATGCACAAAAAAACCTAAATAAACTAGAACAAACGTATATACAAGGTCTTCGGATTATACTAGGATGTATGAAATCTACACCTAGAAACGTGATACTTGCGGAAGTGGAAATAATAAATCTAGAACATAGAAGGAAATGGTTAGCACATAAGTATGTAATAAAACGCATGGACTTTAAGCCACCTATTATATATATTTTGGAAATACTATCATGGAAAGGAAACAAAACATGTATTGGAAACCCCACCAAACACCATATCTGATAGAGGCATATGAACAATGTAAAGTATTTAAAAATAGCAGATTATGAAGATGAATATAATTTCATTTACACAGACGCTTCCAAACAAAATAACAGGGTGGGAATGGGAATATACATACCAATAATTGACTACTCTTTTTCAGCAAGATTAAACGATTATACAAACATATGTGACGCAGAAATCATTGCAATAAATGAGGGTATGCGAATTTGTATTCAAAAAAACTTACACAAAAATATAATATTAACAGATTCTAAAAGTGCAATAGAAAGAATAAAAAATATGGATTCAACAGCAAACAATGATTTTATTACATTAAACATAAAAGATAAAATAAGAACAAATACAAATAATAATAAAACATTTAAAATAGCCTGGATACCAGGTCATCAACAAATAGAAGGTAATGAAAAAGTTGATAATTTAGCAAAAATTGGTAACCACCTTAATATTCCGCTGGATATTAAAATAGATAAAAAAAACTTTATACCCCACATAAAACAAATAATAAGTACATCATTTTACACCCAATGGAAACACGAAATTCAAAACAAAGGTAAAATGTATTTTAGGGTCCAACCTGACTATCCAACAAAACCATGGTACACAAAAATACCAAATATGGACAGAAGACACATAACAAGTATCATTAGAATGAGAACAGGACACTGCAGTTGTAAACAACATTTATATCGCATAGGGGTCAGTGATAGTCCAAACTGTGAATGCGGACAAATAGAGACAATAAATCATATCTTTTTAGAATGCCCAATCAACAGTATCCCCGGACAAGATTTATATCAAAAATTTATTAACAACGGAATCAAAGCACCGTTCGATATGTTTACAGTACTTAGGAATTTAAATTTAAAAATTATTAAGGACATAACACAATTTATGCTACACAATCAAATTAAAGTATAAAAGAAAGAAAAGGTAATTGTATCGTTTAAAGACAAACCCTTGTATCATTCACCCTTGTATGTGTCTTTCGTCTAAATTTCTATCTGTGATATGTGAAAATACTAACAAACCTACACCGACTACAACAGACAAAAGACAGCAAAAAGTAATAAAGAGAGCAAAAGAAGAAGAAAGTGACACAATAAGGAAGCAGTCTGCATAAAAGCAGGACAACTGCAACCCCGGACGAAGCGACTGTTACATAAGTGACGTGTAACAGAAGGAGAACTGGCTAAATGCGCCTCAACGGAAGCAAGGGCCAACCAAACGGAGAGAGAGAGAGACATTTCTTTTGCTAGTCTGCTAACCCAGTTTTTTTGTTATGATTTTGATGTTTTACTTTAAATCAGTGACGTTTGACGAAGTTTTTCCCGTTATGATATACTTTCGCCCTCCGAAATGTTGAAAGAAAGCATTAAAATTCGAGTTGCCGTATGAAAATAAATGTAAGTAGAATTCATTAACCTACAAGTGAATCGACCTGGAAGGCGCGGTTGAGTAGAAAACACGCAATAACAATATTGTCATTCTCTGCAAACTATATTAGAAAATTATCCAAGGATTATTGGACAATAGACCACAAATTAGGAGAGTAATCATGTTGGTTACTTCTGGTCACATCAGTATCATAAATTTGTTGCACATAATTTATCTAAAGATTTTGGGGACCACTACATACACTCCATTTAATGTAGAAGTCATTGTTAACATCAATTTGTAACTCATTCTTTGTAAGGGGATATCCATACATTTGTGTATGATTTCAGTTTTTCTTCCAGGTGCTGTTGACCTTCTTGTTATGTGTGTGAATAAAAGAAAACAAAAATGCTATCACTTGATAAAAAAAGTTTGAGTGAATATTTTGTATTGAAACTTTGGAGTGAAAAATATATCAAATTCTTCAAAAATATCAGTTTAATCTCTGACGTTTTTCAATGGTAAACAAGTTATTTATTAACATTGCACTGAACCTATAATAAAGTATGTGCTATATCAGTGGAATATAAATATCTCATTGTATATAATGCATTTGTTACTTTTGTTCAGTATTCTAACCTGTGTTAATACCTTTTATGAGATTATTTTCTGTGTCATAATTCTCTTGACACTAAATTATATTTGCTGTTATAATCACAATATTTCCTTTTATTTCTGATCATAATTATTGTTATTATTGATTTCTTATTAATTGATAAAAATAATGGATTTATGTGGTTTTCTTAATAGGCTTTTATACTTCCTAAACAGAAAAAAAAATTAGAACTTATTTGGATGGCTTATGTAACTTCCTATATTTTTATACCACTTGTATTTGTAACTAATATTACAATAAAAGTTTATTGTATTCGTTTGAAAATGCCCGTATAGGACAAAACTACAGTAACGTTAGTTACGAATACGAATGGTATAAACACATAGGAAGTTACATCCATCAATTTACATTCATTGTTATAATTTTTCAAGTCAATATGTATATTTTTTGAAATGTAAGTACTGCTTAACTTCATTTTTTTAAGATAAATTTTTTTATTAATCAATGTCAGTGGTATCTGATAAATCAATTTTTATGTATTGAAAATTATTGAAGTCTTTTTTTCAGCAGAATCTATTTGAAACCTAACATTTAATAACCAGAAAATTGATTTGTTTTTGGCAAAATCTCATATTGCAATGATTTAATTACTCCATTTAATAATGCAACATTACCTATAACATCTTGCAAGAATTGCAAATGAAAATGTTCTCTGATATCAAAAATGTTCCATAGTAAAGTTACTTTTCTTTCACTCCATCTGGTAGTATATAATTCAAAAAAAAAAAACACTGTTCAATAAATTGATTGATGTAGCCGTTAACTACGTAATAGTTAATCATAATGAAGAAAAGAGAAATGAAACTTTCTATGTTTTTACCACTTTTATTTGTAACTAACGTTACTGCAGATACGTCCTATACGGATGTTTTCAAACTTATACAATAAACTGTATAAGTTTGAAAATGTACAGTAACGTTAGTTACAAATAAAAGTGGTAAAAACATAGAAAAACACACTGTTAATTTCAAAACAAAAACTGTTTAGACTGAAAATGAGGTACCTATGTTTAATCTTTAGCATCAAATTAAAATGTTATAAGTACTGAATCTTTTGATTAAAAAATACAGCAATGAAAAACACAAAAAGGTAGTTTCCACTGAATATATTGAAAATCAAATGATTTTTATAGCAGAAAAAATGGAAACACATGTTTTTAAAATTTTGTGAAAAACTCTTAGGTTATGTGAAAAAAAATCTGTTGAAAACTGTCACCTCCCTGAAAATGACAATCCTTAAAAGTTGAAACTTGTGCGAGCTAAGGATTAACAAGTCTTACCTTTCAAAAAGTGATTCCTGGCATGGATTGGAGATAGGCAGTGAAAATTCATTATCTGGCCGTAGGACTTGAACCACTGTTTCACATAGCGGTGGATTGAATGAGACAAATAAACCACTCACGCTAACTCAACTGGCTACTGTTAGTTTTTGAAAACTAACTTAAGTACTCAGTAAACTATGAGATTCTTTATTTCATCCACATATTTTCTACAAAGTAAATAATAAAATTTCTTCATATCTTCACTAGTGAATAAAAACAAACCACTTCTTTACTTTCTGTTGTCTACTAATTTAGGTTATCTGGTTTGTTTTTTGTTTTTCATTTGCATTGAAGCCGTATGAGTCATGCTGAAAATATAATTGATAATATAATTTATTTACTCTAATCTAGTGCTTGATGGAAAAATCGAACAATAATATTTCTCCCAGATACCAGAACTGTGACACTCTTCTCGGCGCTCATTACACCACCAAGTAACCACCATCAGCTTAGATTACTGTAGAATATATGGATCAAATATATCATCCTTAACCTATTATTCTGTCATTTCAGGTCGCAATGACAATGGAACAGTTTGCATTAGATCCATATGAACAACAGTTACTGAAAGTATTTGATAGCCATGACAAAGAGAACTGTGGCAGCCTGGATAGAGAAGGCCTTGTACAATTATGTCAAACTCTTCAACTTGAAGAGCAGGGTATAGAGTTAGTGAAATGTCTTTTGAAAAATAGAAATTCGAGGGCTACATTTTCAGAGTTCAAAGATGCATTACTGGCTTTGTTGGGTAATATGCAAAGCAGTAAAAATTCAAAAAATGAAGAAACTGTTGACAATTGTACGAAAACTTCTCCTGAGCGAGAAGTTTCTCCAAAATTTGTGTATGGTTCAAAGAAGTACGGTCGCAGGTCACGCCCTAGAAACGATGAAGTAACTAGCATATATAATGAGCAAAATGATATCAGCCTGAATAAAAGCCAGAACATCGTATCAGTACAAAGATCTAACTCTCAGTCTGAAGTATCTTCAAAAAAAAGAAAAACGAATTATAAGCTTAAGAGATGTACTTCTCTCCCAGGCAGTAATGATGTGCTCATAAGCAATACTACAGATAATAACTGTCACATGCTGTCCAGTGAACTTGAATTAGTTTGCACAGAAGAAATGCTTCGTGAGGCTTGGAGAAAACTTGGGGTAGGTGAGGATGGGTATTTGAATAGAACTGAACTTATATTGGTATGTGATGCGATAGGGCTCCATAAACTAGCAGATGGCGTTATAAGACAGTTATCACATAAACTTAATATTAATTGTAATCACAAAATCAGCTTTCAAGAGCTTTTGACAACATTGCAGCAAGATGAAACTTGGTTCGAAGTACTTAATCAAAGCCCACTTAACAGCAATGATCCTGTTATACATCAGTCAAACAGTACTAGTTTTCCTGATTCTCGTACATTCCATTTTATCACCTTAGGCCCTGACGGGAATGGGATCATCAAAACAGATGTTTTAATTGAAATGTGGGAGAGTATTGGAGTACACTCTCCAAAAGAACTGTTACAAGAACTTGGTTTCAATTGCAGACAGATAAAAATTGTAGAGTTGGCAGAAGTTTTGGAAAAACAGATGAAAAGTATCCATGAAGCAACCAGAACTGCATTTCAAAATCCTCATATCACCCTATTACAAGCAAATTTAACTTTGTACCAATCAGAAATAAAAACTTTGAAAAGCATTTTAGAGCAAATTCAAGCTGAACGTGAGAAACTAAAATGTGATGTTTCTGAAGCAAATAACAGGGCAACTCTTTTGGCTCAGGAAGTTGACGACAATCATTTGAGAATGGAACAAAACACTCTCAATCAAGTGAAGTTGTTGGAACAACGACACTCTGATATATTGAGAGAAGTTACTACACAATTTTCCAGAGACAAAGAGCAGCTTTCTAATATCAATCAGGGTCTTGAAAGTAAAATTATCAGCCTAGAACAGGAAGTAACAAAAATAAAAAATGATCTTCTTGTTGCTCAAAAATATTCCCTAAATATGGAAAAAGAAAACCATTTTTTGTCAGGTAAAATTGTTGAGTTGGAAAAAGATAAATCCGTTTTAAATAACCAAATCGAAATCCTTGAAAATGAAAAACAAGAACATAGTGAGATGGAACAGGAGGAAAGCAAATTATTGTTGGCAAAATTATCTGTTTTACAATTGGAAAATTCCCAGTTGAAAGATCGAAACGATGAGATGGTTTCCGAAATTGAAAGTTTGTCGAACCAGATGGCGACTATGAGAATGAAAGTTTCTAGTACCCCAACACTCAGCATGAATCCTTTGGACCAGTCAATGGAGGAAAATATTTCAGTTATTTGTGAAGGAGTTGGAGTTGGTGCAAAACGTAGGAGTGACTATTCACCTAGTAAAGATTCCAAACTCTTCAACATTAGTAAGTGATTGTTCTTTATTTATATTTAGTTTAGATAATGGTAGATATATGTGTTATTGTTTCTGCATTACTTATGATTGATCATAGTTTCTAAAAAATATTTTAATTTTTGTAACGTTAGAGTCTCTGCATGTAGTGTCAGATCAGTTTAGCAAAGTTGCCTATTTTAATGATATCAATAATCTACGATAGCTCTGTCGTATCTTTATTGAAAATCTATTGAAACTTTGTCATGGGAATTGTTGATGGGTTATCAGAATATTTGGATAGATAGGTGGGATAAACATTGGAAGTCTTCACTCAGCGAACTTGTTCATTGAACTTTAATACAGGATGTGATCCGACTTGGGTTACCATCAACTTCAAAAATTTAAATATGGACCTGAATTTTTTGTAGAAATTTTTTGACTCTACAGAAGTTTAAGAAAAATTTGAAATTTTTATCATGGTTTCATTTTTAATTGACTTGGCCAATTTATTAAAAAACTTCCCTACAGCATATGCTTTTGAATATTGAAATTGAATGTTTTTGAAGTCTAATAGAGTCTCCATATTGTGTGGGGTATCTGTGGAAATCGGAATTCTTGTGTTGATCATTTATGTGTTTTTTGAACTGTTTTGTTTTTAATGTAGTATTACTTGCTTGCTCCAGTATAAAAAGAACTAGAGTTGATTTATTGAATTCTAAAATAGTTCTCTTGATCACAGATTAAAGTACTATCTCTCTCTCTACATTTATAAGATTCTCATACTGGAATTTGAACAGCTCTGTAAAAACTGAAATTATTTGTTGAAATGAATAAAATAAGAAAACTGTGGATGTTCTCATTCACATAAAACACACTCTTTACTTGAATCAAAATATCGTAAATATCAAACTAATAAACCCTGCATCAATTCTTATCAATTTGATAAATTCACTCCAAAGGTAGATTTGTAACAGAAATTGGACTGGTTTTCTCATACTGATAGTATTTTATATCAGTTGTTTGTCATCAAACATGTTTGGTAAGTTCCATTTTTCCTTGACGAGTCCTTAAAATTGAAGGATTTTGCATGTACTTAAATTTGAAAAGAGTGGTTTATTATGTCTATGAAATAATTGTGTTTAATTGAACATCCTGGACATCACACCCTTGTTTCAAGAACCAAATGCCAATTATTTTCAATTTTGAAAAAAGTTCACTAATTGTGAACCTCAACAAAAAATCTGGTCATGATAATGTTACAAATGTATCGCCTCTAGAAATAGGAGTTCCTCTAGTTCTAGTTAATGTTTACACATATAGACCAGGAAAATTGAATATTTTGAATTTTGACATGCATGTATGAAAATATATCACAGAATTGTTTGCTCTATCAGAAAACGTCATATTTCTAAAATGAATCATCTCAGAACCTGTCTAATGACATTAGCGAAAGCATAAACAGCAGGGGGAATTCCGTCTATTTAGATTTCGAATTTTTTCAAGGTAATATTATTAATCAATTGTCAAAACAAGAGCGAAATCGTGTCGTGCAGGTTTTTAACTAAAAGCATTTTTTTCAACCTTTTTTTTACACAATACAAAACTACAGACTCACAAGTATTCATTCATCACATCACCTTCACACATTATTTCACATTCTTTGATACTTTTCACTTTGATAATCAACATTTTTTCTATAAAAAACTTGATTCAACAATGGATTCGTTTTTTGGTGACATTCCTACATTGTTGAGTTATATACTATTGACATATCGGGAAAAAGCAGCTCCGTCAAATAATAAAGTTTTTTGTAGAAAAAATAGTAATTATCAAACTGTCAAAGGTGAAATAAGAGGTGAATATGGTGAATAAATACTTGTGTTTTTCTATAGTTTGTATTGTGCAAAAAGAAGGCTGAAAAGTTTCAGAACTTTGGAGGGCTGTAACACTAGAAATAAGAAAAAACACCAATTTTTTCTTTCGAATTCGTAATGTACACATCAAAATGGACAAGAACAATTTTTTTTTCAAAATCAACAGGTGGTGCAGCCTATCCAGAACTTTACCTGTGAGAAATACAAATACGATATAATATGATATTACGTTCTATTACGTTATTCAAACAAATTGAAGATGTATCAGAAAAAAACACCGCAAAAGTTCTACTAATTCTAGTCAAGAAGAAATGACAGAAAAGTTAACTACATATCTTCTATTACAATTTTATGAGAAATCGCTAAATAAGTTACTCAGTTGGAAAAGTTATACTCTCATGAATTTTGGAAAACCACAGCTGTCATAAATACTGTAGTTCTATCCCAACACCAAATCGTTATTTTAACACCTCGACACGTGTTTCAATTACCAAGTGATCATCTTCAAGACGAAGATTAAACTAAGTCTACATACAATGTTGGCCTTATTTATAACAAAGATACCTCTGATAGGTACCTGCGTCTTTAATGTCTTGAAATTAATTTCCAAAATGTTGCTTTATCTACGAGGTAAATTTGATGACTAAAAATATTATTTCAACAAGCTATATAGTAAACTACTAAGTATTTGTCCACCATCGTTATTCATAATATTATTATGTTGTCTTATTACTAAGCTCTCATAGGAATTTAGATGCCTGTTGTTGTTAACTTGTCTAACTAATCTCAATGAACTACAATCTATGGAATGGTTTTGTTGCAAATCAGCGACTGCTGATTTTTCTGGTCTTGCATATTTTAAGTGTGCTAAGAGTGTGTGTACTCAATCAGTTACATAATTTTTGTTCAAAAAGAATCAATAAAAAATTGTTATTTAATATTAACTTCCAATTTCAATAGGTGGGTTAACCCAATTTCTATTTTATAAGTATTTGTAGCATGAAAATTGACTAAAACTTCTTTCAAGGTCCCGCCAATTCTTGATGTTAGCAACTCAGGGATATAAGAATAATATCAAAGCGCCTGACGATCGCTTTTCTCAGGTCGAGTGGGCTGAAGTCTTAAACTGAGGGGTGCCAGGATGGTGTCTTCAACACCTTAGTCTACCGCAGTCGCGTGATGTGTTTAGAGGTTTCTGACACAAGGTGCAGGAAGCCCGAGACCCTAATGCACTTGCTATCAGCTTGTCCAGCATATGCGGTCTCGGCCTATATCCATCGACATAACGCGGCCCTAAGTGCTATATTACCATCTAACTCACTCTTACGGGATTGACAAGACCCCGGTGTTGCCCTACGCTCCGGGGGATATTGAATCCGTTGTGGGGAACGAGAAGTGCCGAATTTATTGGAACTATTTGTTCCCCACCCTCAGACTCATACAAGCTAATAAGCCTGATGTAGTCCTTCTCGACCACCAGAGCAAAACGATATTTGTCGTGGAGTTTTCAGCTCAGGCAGAAATCTGAACCGCACAGATGCAGAAGGCTGTCATTCTTGGCTCACTGCGCTTGCTCAGGGCACATGATTCTCGGACTCAATGATCACTTACCCCACGGTGTGGGGAGTAGTCATTGGTTGATAATGCTGGCGCTCCCTCCCGAATGTATCGGGGCTTCGGAGGATAGGGCCTGACCAGCGCACACTGCGGTGAAAAATAATAATAATAATTTGTCTTTATTCTGTCAATCTAGGATACATATAGATTTTTTTACATTTGGAACATTAATGATCCTAGGGCTGACGTCAAAGGCGTAGTTCAAATCAATATTTCAAAATTACTGATTTGTTCTACCACTTAACCTCATACAAGCTTAACATTATGGAATATGCCTATAATACAGAATTTGAAAAAAAAAACAATAATAGGGACTCTTAACAACTTAGGGATCTGAAATGTATTATTTGGTTTATTGCTTCCACAAAACATTCTTATAGTAGTACTTGAAATTAATCACATTTATTTTTTAATTTCGTTTGGAATACCGTTGTATACGTAGCCAATTTGGTAACTGAAGGGCCGTTTAAAGAATTCATGATGGTGAATTGGTGGTGTTAAAATACCTTTAAATCGAATATTGATTGTGTGAACATCGGTTCGAAATGAAATTTTTTCATATAAGTAAATCGGAATCTTCGTTATGATTATTCTGTGAAATATAACTGTCCATAATTATTATGTCAAAAATAGGCGGCGTTTGCTGTTGTTTGCATGTCTCACGAAATTTAAGAGTTTTCGAAAAGCATTCAGTCGAATATTTCGTAATAACTTCCTAGAAAATATTTGCCCAAATGTCATTCCATTACTATACTTCGATTGTAAGTGTGTTTGAACCGAATGGACGCAATTGTGTTCTCTACCACACCAAGAAAAATCTAATAATTTTTTTCTAACAAAGTAAAGATGGCAGAAAATGATGTGTTAGGGCGCATAATTCAGCTGGCTGCATCGATTAATATTTTCAGTGTCACATTGGATAACAAAATAACGTGCCACAATCAGGTTATTAGAATAACAAAGGTAGACACTACTGATAACTTGGAAACTTATTTCGAACTAGAATAATGCACACACTCACCTCAACAAAACTTTTAATAAAGCTCAAATTGGACCTTGAGTTTACTCTGAGGCTGCCCCCCCCCCCAACGCCTTCAGGTTCTGGTGCAGGTATTACAGTCGCAGACCCAGGACAGAAATATCAACCTGCCTAGGAACCTATGCGATTGTATTTCAAGCAGAAATTTATGCTATTGAATTGTGTGCGGCGAGAATGGAAGAATCCAACCTGATACAAAAGTCAATGAAAATATTCTCGGACAGTCAAGTGGCGTTGAAAGCTCTTGGCTCCTACCGATCAACGTCTAAATTGGTAGCAAATTGCCAAAAACGACTCTCCTCGATAGGAAGACTCGAAGATTGTCTCTGGTCTGGATTCCTGGCCATAGGTTAGTACTTATGGCCAGGAATCCAGGCCATAGTGCCTGGAAGGCAATGCGGCTGCTGACATTGAACACTGAACACTTGGATGGCAAAAAGATTTATGGACTTCTGGCAGAATCTTCCAGGATTGGCTCACTCCAAGGCGTTTATTCACCTT